TTTTTTTTGGTTTTTTTGGTCCTCTGCAGACTTCTCTATTTTCTTGAGTGTTGTTTTCTCCTTGGGAGAAATGCACTTATCAACGCATCTGGAACTCCTGACAGGTCATCCTCTTATCTGCTGCATTCTGAACCTCTACATCTCATCTCCTTGGAACGTCAGAATTGAATATGCAACTTCTGAGCAATGTTTCACAAAAGATCTTCATTTGCTGGCTTCTGTCATTGAAGGTATTTTTCATGCATGTCCCTGCAGTAGTTGATGTCACTTCCATGTCATTTGATTCTTCCACTGCTAGATTTTGCTCTCAAATCTGATTTGCTCTCATCCGCTTCCTGACGTCTTCTTTGTGCTCATTGTCACCTACCATGGCACTTCAGCTTGGTGCAGGGGATGGTTTCAACAGAGACCTTGGAGACCAAGAGTTCCACGCCCACAGGCACAAGAAGACTTGCGTGTACAATCCACTCTACGTCAAGCGTTTGTCTCGGCGATTTGCGAAGACAAATACGTCGGCTTGCGAACAAGTTTTCTCTTGGTTTCGCAATTATGCACGGATTTTGAATGAGGCACGTGCAATTCGCCACACTTTTAAGGTGCTGTACTTTTCCAAATTGCACAACCAAGCTGTGGCTGAAAACAAGGCCAGCTACTTGAACAAGTTCAAGAAAGCTGTGTCTAAGGTAAGCAAAGCATATGCTTGCTAGAACTAGATTTTGGAACAGAACTAGCGCGGAAAAATGAGATGTCTTAGCGCCAACTCCTTGCTTGCATTGTCTGCAGCAGATGATTTGACTGTGGTAGTATCCTTATGCATTCTTCCAAAAATCATCTTCTTTACTGTCATGCTGGCTCTGACAAAAGAAAGTAGAAACACATCTTGCAACTGCATCATCTGCTTCCAATCATCTGGAAATGCCTCACATCTGTACATTAACAAACAATAAGCTAGAAGTCATTAAAAAACCTATGAATTAAAAACCCACCCCCCAGCGCAATCCGCTCTCTTGATTTTTGTCCGGGGTTTCTTGATTCATACTGCTGTGATGGCTTCCCCATGTCAAGGTCGCTTCCCAGCTCTTGCTGAAGTACCTGGAGGAGAACGATGCCAACTTCGTGGTGAACGGAGCGACCCCAGGTGCGGATGCCACGAGTCTGAAGGACTTGTTGTTGCTCGCTTCCTGTCAAGGCGCTTTCGTGATGCGAGGTTTCAGTCTGGGTCAAGAAGGTGCTACAGAAAGTGACATCTTGTTGGGCATGTCCAAGCGCTGCACCCCCGCCAGCATTGTGGACACAGACACGGAACAGTCACTTCGATTGAAAGTTGTAGTGAGGAATTCGCAATACAAGTCGTGCTTACAGTGGTCGGATTGCGTGGCGACAGATGCTCGGTTGGCCATCGTGCGCAAGTTTTGTCCTTTTCTGGCGCCGGGTGGATATGTTTTCATTGAACATTGGGTCTTTGGGTCTTTTATCAAGCAAGGATGGGGGTAAGTGCATTTCTTCCGCTGCGCCGTGCTTCGAGAGCAAGAAACAACTCTTTGTCATGGAGACTTTGGACACAGGCAGTTTCACTGCCTATGACAATGCAGATGGTGCCGACCAGACAGTGGTGGGGAGCAAGTTCAACCTTTTCGCGGATGACGCCAAGCAAGACCCGATCCGGGCCTACTACTTTCATCTTAACGAAGCTCATTTGATGGCAGATTCTGGTGGTGCAGAAGAATTCTACTATGGCACGCACGAAGGTGAAGAAAGGAAACTCATGGCATACTTTGACGACGGTCCGACCGACAACTCAGTTGTAAGCAGGTGGGGCATGACCAAAAGCTTCAGGTGCAGGGCCATGTCGTTGCGACGTCTTGGTGCAGAGCCATTTTGGGTTAGTAGAACTAGCAGTCCCGCCCCCTGAAAACTGGTGGCACATCCTTTCCTCGGGGCATCCTCTCCTGGACGCTCAGGTGGTTGGCCTTAAAGCAGACAGGGCAGTTCGTGGTGGGTTGGACGCAGTTTGAGGCTGCCAGCAGTTTTACTGTGGAGCCCATTGAAGCCTTCCAGTGGACTCTCGATGAGTTGGCAGGCTTTTCTGAGGCGCACATCGACTGTGGAAGTGGCCACGTGATCCAAGACTTGAGGAAGACCGATACTTGGATGCGTTCTGTGGACACCCACACCAGTCAGATGTGTGCCATGCCACTGTGTGTTTTCTTTGCGTGTTGCAAAAGTGTTTGTGTTGGACTTTTTGAGGTGGCTTGGACTTGTTTTTCTCAGGGATGTCAGCCAAAGCCACCAACCAAGGAGGTCGAACTCTTTTGGACCTGCTCCCAAGTAGCAGGCTTGGGTTCCTGTGTCGAGCTCACCTCCTCGGACGCTCAAGCAGATTCCCTGGAAGCCTTGCGCTTTCTGAAATTGGACTGCGGTGAGAACGCCGCCATGCAGTCGTTGGAGTTCGAATCCAATTCCATCAGCTATTCACTGCGCTTGAAGGCCAAATGTTGCAGTTTGGCCAAACTCCCTGTAGTGCTGAACGTCACGGAGGACTTCTCCAGTGATTTCTATGATGGTGACTTGATTCCTGTGGCTGCTTCTGAAGGGATCTATTGCCCCACAGGACTTGATGAGTCGGGTCGACCTACCTTTGCACAAAGCTTCAGCTTCAAGCCAGATGAGAGTCAACCGCAGAACACTTTGCAGTACAACCGCGCAGTTGGAGAGTGGTGCTTGGGAACTTCCTGTGTGGAAGCAGATGTGGTGCATCCACTGGATCTTGGAGAGAGCGTCTTCGGCGATCTTCAAGTGATGCCTTTCTTCAACTTCGATGCGAAGTTCGTCGGACAAGGCGTCGTTCCTTTGAGTCCGCCAGACTCGTCTGGCTCCGTGCAGCGTTGGCAGACACCTCCGAGGCTTCTCACCTTTGCAACAGAGGATCCGGTCTACCACCCGGAGTGCAAAGACGAGGCTGTGGGCGATTAGTGGCGCTTGGGAGCTTTGTAATGTTCAGAAGGGGAAAACCCAAACACGACTCGTCCACTTGCCTCTGTTTGCTAGATTCTGCTAGCTGTTGAGTCGATGTGGGGTTTTGAGAAGGATACTCAACAGCTTCCAATCCCAGTGGCCCAGATGGTTTCGGCCCGATATAGGCCCGATATCCGCACTGCCGACGCGCACGCTTTCAGGTGTACCCAGGGACCGGACAGAACGACGCGGACGAGCCCAGCTTTGATCGGAAGCAGATGAATGAGGAGTCGAATCGCGCCGTGAGCCACATATGATACAGCCACACATATAATATTTATCAGCTGTATCCTTGAGAACACCAGAAAGATGTGTAGATATTATATAATATATACCTGGATCTTCCAACTATGCTAAATTTCAGCCTTTGTGGCTGTTCTTTATGGATGAACAGGCAGAAATTGGGCACAGGCAGGTCAGATCCAGGCATGTATATAATATATAATATCTATACACATATTTTGGTGTTCTCAAGGATACAGCTGATTTTGGTGCTTGAAGACTCCGTTTACCGATTGGGACCGGGGCTTTTTGGCAGAGAACTATAGAACCTGACAAGGGATGTCACAGAACCGCTTGGGAAGGATTCGCGGTCCAAGTTGGTTTCAGCTCCATCTTGTGTTCCAGGAGGCTCAGGGCTTGGACGTGGAAAACCCCTGTCACTACATCTGGAGCACGCAGCAGGGTGATGGCGCCAGCTGGGTTCCGAGGCCGACTGCGTTTACACGACCAGCGCCGTACAAGTTCGATCCCATCAAGTTGATCACGCCAGAGGGCAGAGCTGAGGCGGTGGTGAAGACCATCAAAGATCGATTGGGTGTGGAGTTTCACTTGTCGGAGCCTGAATATTCACAGGAGGAGCTGGCTTCTGGTGCGCCAGGTCAGGGCTTGACTTACCGGACCATGCAAGAATGCTCAAGCCGGGCAGGTAGCCGCAGTGGCGGCTACACCTCTGCGAAGAACATGTGGGCTCTCCAGCAAGCGATGATCCAGGGTAGCCTCCAATTAGTGCTCCATGCGGTGACTTTCGCCGATGGCGTCGCTGATGCCTTCAGTTGGTTTGGCGCTCCGGCCAAGGTGGTGTCCGCAGGAGCGAAGTTCCTGGGGAATTCGGCGCTCACCGCCACGAGCATGGCCTTTGCGGCGAACAACCACAGGCTCGACAACGTCTACAACACCGCAGCCGGGGAGGATTGCTCTCCACTGATGCAAGGCTTGTCTAGGACAGGGTTGACTTCATCCTCTTGCTCTTTCTTTTTGCGTCGTTTTCTTTTCACCTCAAACAAGGGCCAGCCATTTGTTGTGCCTGCATTTTTGTTGAATCTGCCAAGATCTCCGTCGCTCCAGAGGATGTTTTGTGATTTACACTGCATCCGTAACGCCGTGAAGACGGGCGACGCCAGCATTCTGAGTCAATTGGAAACGGTGTCGGAGACCATCTCGAACAACACCCGGCGCCTGTTTGAGTTCTACTTGAGCGAAGACCAGGGAGCAAGCTTGGTGCAGTCTCAAAGCGAGTTGGTGAATGGCATCGCCCACAGCTTGTTGGAGACTGGGGCTTGTTGGGGGAGCGAAGTCTTTTTTT